GCATGCAAATTGTTCTGTCGTTGGCTGCAAGAACAAGCAGATAACATTTTAACCAGAAGCGAAGAACTTTTAATACAGAAGCGATCAAGCAAGTCCATAGGTGTGTCAAGTTCCAGACAGACAAATAGTACTATAGAATTTATCACATTAATAGATTATTGGTGAAATTTTGGTCCGTTCCTCACACAAAGTTTTATGGACTCAAAAGTTATATGGACTACATGTATGGTCATTGTGTGTTTATTTTATGTCACTTATTAGCATAAACATTGTTAAAAATTTGTTTTTTACAGAAGAAAGCCATATTTCAAATGACATGAGCATGAGTGAAGATGGTTCAGTTTTCAAATGATTCCCTTAAACTCACAGTATTTTGCTTCCAAATCCAGAATTGTTTGATTTCAGTTAAAGTGGAATAGATATTAATGTTGCTTTTTTAAGTGGTGAGATCAAGAAACATTGTAAATCTCAGTTCCTGGTGTAAAATCAGGAACTATTTTTCATTTCAGATTTATGGCTGTTTCTTTTACACCGCAACAAAATGTAGATTGGTAACATAGCATCATAATAAGATATGTGTAGAAAAAAACTGAGCCTTATGGGGTCATGATAATATAATAGGTGACAAGACAATTACTTCACAGGACTGGAATGAAAAAAAGTTTTACTGGAGGTGGAAATTCTGCTTTCATTTTGTTAGAGAACAGTATGTTCTGTTTTTACTCTGGTGACTAAGCCTGCACTCCAACTAATGTTGAGAGAGCTTTCGATTCAAAACTTGGTGAAGAGGAGCTGTAATTTATTTTGAGTTGCCACCCACTGGATAATCCAGGATTCAGAACAGCCTGGTGAAATTCTCTAAATCATCTTTACCAATATTGTTAGTGTAGAGGATAATTATGCATTATAACACAGCTTGCTTTCATTTGACTGAAGGGGAAGGGGGAGGGGGGGATATGGCTTGTTGAGGAAGGAAGGAAATAGTCATGTAGCCTCCACCCCCAGCGAGAAACACCCAGACTTAGACTAGGCTGGTTGAAAAACTGAACGCAATGCCATTTTTCTGTCATTCTTGTGAAAGACTTCATCGTGACGTGGGACTGGGAGAAAAAAGGCCGCCGCCCTTTCGCAATCTCTCTCTCTCTCTGTGTGTGTCACTCGGAGAGCTCCAACCTTCTCCTCGACTGCTGCGTAAGTGCAGCGAGTCTCAGTGAAACGCCGGGGTTTATATATGCGCCTATTTTTAGCCTCAGCGCGTGAAGCTATTTTTAACCAATATGAGCTCATCACTTTCCTACACGACCAATCAGAGCACAAGAGTGAGCACGTGGGCGGGAAGCACAGAGAGAGAGAGAGAGAGAGAGAGAGAGAGAGAGAGAGAGAGAGAGAGAGAGAGAGAGAGAGAGAGAGAGAGAGAGAGAGAGAGAGAGAGATGAACGGACAGCTGATGGCAGTACGGGAGCGCGCAATGCCCTATCTTAAAATTAATTGATACATTAAATATTTATTTAAAAAAATAAAATAAAAATAATACAGCATTATTAAAGATGCATTATATAACCCAGTGAAGCCTGACATATGAAATAAAAGTCCAAAATGGTTTATTTTTACATGAGCCGACATTTTTGTTGAGTATCATACAATACAGCAAAAGACACCTGAAGGGAGACGTATTTAGACTTATACTAAAAGGCCAATACTTGCTAAAAATATAAACTTTTGTTCATTTTGTCAATTTTTAGAGGCCTTGCTTAGAAATGTGTGTATCACGATACAATAGGCTTTATAGGGTTAAATAGTGACAATTATCATTATAAGATAATCAGAATAAAAAAAAAAATTAAGAAGGCATGGGCCATTCATTATATGCACTATAGTAGCTATACAGTACCATGATAAATATGTTCTATGTCTCTGAGGTAGCAAGTGCTGTTTTCTACGGTTTTCTATGAAGTGGTGTGCTGAAGAATCAGCAATGCATTAAAGAGACAGATGACAATAGAATGGAGAAAATTCAGAGGAAGGCATGGTCTGTCATAGTCCTGGGGACTAAACTACTGAACTTACAGAGGGTGGTGACCGAGAGGAGGATATAGTGTGCAGTGTCCAGACTCCAGCAGTGTCCAAACATTTAAACATTATGGATGTCCCCTCGCATCCAGTACAATAAGAGCACCTTCTCTTTACATGTATAATGCCCTGCTGTACTGAACTGAGACACAGACAATCCTATCTGCCCACTTAGTCTGTAATTCATCCATGTAGTGTGAATCATATATGCCACTTCCCTATATCGTGGTTTATTTATTTTGTTGGTTTCTTTGTGTGTGATTAGGCAACATTATACATGATGCTCAGGCTACTGTAAATGACACGTGGAGATTAATAAATCAATCGAAGTAACAAAGATATGTCAACTTTTAACTGTTCAACAGTTTCCAGCTCAAAGACTAGGTTTATACAACGGCGACACCTGGTGGCCAATCATCATAATTATACTTGAATTCTGCATTCTATAATTGAAATAGAATTATATTCGGGCTATTTAACCGCATTCATGCTCGTTATGTATTTTCTATGTTATTTATTTATGCTACTATTCGAGTATTTAGTGGTTTTCTTCAAAGTATAGATGGTTCTCAATCCAATATTGTGAATGTGATGCAGACCCTTTTCCTGTATTCTTACACTAAAACACAACACTATTGTAATGCCATGATCTTTTGGACAGATGCCATAACAGCCTGCACTCTATTCTTTGAAAAACCTTAGGGATACTATGGTAAATAGGCTATGGTAATGGTAATCATTCAGCAGACGCTCAGAAAAAAGAAGAAAACAATTCTCAGAAGAAATAGAAACTGGAAAGAGTCAAGAAAGAAATTAAAACAGACGTCTTATTTATAGCGAATGTATTTCAGCCAGCTAGTAGACAAAAATTACATGGATGCAGATATAGGCAAACTATAACATTATATGATCAAATATATTATAACACGTTCCTCTATTGTGTCTTGCTGCTCTGAATGTATCCTGTCAATGTACAAGTAAGAACTTTATTTGGTAAGCCTTTATGAGCAGTATAACAAGGGCAAGGCCTACAGTTATTGTCACAAAACAGACCTCTTCGGTATAATGCAAGATGTGTAATTTGTCCAGAGAGGTAAGACTGCGGCTCCTTTTCTCAAAGTCAAATCAAAATGGACAATTTTATAACATACACACCTCACCTAACAAGAACTGACCAAGAAAGACTGAACAGAGAGAACTAAATACAGACACTGACGCTTTTGACAATGCGTATTCATCCAACGCGCATGGCACCCTTTAGCGTCAATATGAGACGCAGATATATATGAGCCAGAAGGCGCCTCCTAGTGGTCCAACCCTAACCCTACCCCAGGCCGAAACCTGCCCATAACTGAAGCGTGTTATATTGACGCTAAAGGGCCATGTGCGTTGGATGCATACGCATTGTCAAACAGTGAGTAAGATTGTCTGACAGTGCGATCTAATGAGTTATTCAATGTATTTTTTTTTTAAATATCTGTAGCCTATAAAATAAATCATTGATAAACACGTATTTGAAATGGAATTAAATAACAAGTACTTTGGGTGTCTTGTTTGTTATATTTGTTTTCATATAAAAGCAACAGAAGTTTGCCAGTTTATTATCAACACTGTGCATGAGCGTGAATCCCGTGAATCCCGCGATATCCGCCTTTGATCTCACAGATGTCTGATCCACTGCGAGAAAAGAGACCTGTCCGGCTTCCCTGCGCTTTCTTCACTCCTGCCCTCACTGCAGTCGCCTTGCATACATTTCAGGCGAGGCAAGGCGCATCTCAAACAAGCCTAAGACAAGATGGTGCAGACGACGACTGTGACACCTTGTAAGGCGCTTTGGATAAAAGTGTCTTCCAAATGCATAAATGTAAATGACTGAGTGCGACCTCGACGCATCAGTGAATGGTGAGATATTTTTCTATATAAAATTATCCTGTCAGAAGAATTATGTGATATCTTTATTATTTATTTTTCCTAAACTGTATCATCTCAGGGAGCGTTTGTGAGGTTTTACACATAAGGTTTTCAGGCGTTTTCCAAAAGTTTCTCATCCACCTTGAAATGTCGGAAAACGCCTCAAACACTAGAGTGGCCGGAGAGCGTTTTTAAACGAAAACTCTGTTATCACGTAAAACAAAGTAGCTTCCATTGACTTGTTAACCAACGAGACATGAGATCACACAGCACTAGCAAATGAAAACAATCCGATGATTCAATCAATTCCTTATGGACATAATCAAGTCCCACCCTAAATATTTCCTTGTTCAAGAAACCATTTCATTTGGATAGGTAATAGATCGCAACTTCAGTTTCATGTAGACTTTAATTTTACTTGTATTGAGGGGTGTGTATTAATCCTAGTTTAGTCGCTAGAGGGCGTCAAATCCACACAGTTGCATTTCTGATGCTCTCAGTGATATTCATTACTGTAAATAACTATGATCCCTCTCTCTCTCTCTCTCTCTCTCTCTCTCTGTTATAAGTCTGCTAGGGGAGACTTATTTTTATTAATTTTTTTATGCGACCTAATTTAGCAACCATTAATTCTGATGCTGCTAGATTTAATTGGAGTGTTTCGTGTGTGTGTGTGTGTGTGTGTGTGTGTGTGTGTGTGTGTATAAACAAGACAGTGAGGGTGAGAGATGAAAAGAGAGAGAACCAACATGAGATTTCAACAGTCGTTAAGCAAATGAATCCTAAGAGGATCACATCCAGCAGCTGTCTTATTCTTTAAAAAAAGATACACATTAATATGGAGGGAGGGAAGGAGAGATGGAAAGAGAGAGTGAGAGAGGGGTTGGGCACAATTGGGATAGTTCCCTCCTTCCCAGCAGGGGAGTGTTTGAAAGAAAGGAGTGAATGATAAGAGACTACTGAAGGAGAGAGAGAGAGAGAGAGAGAGAGAGAGAGAGAGAGAGAGAGGGAGAGAGAGAGAGAGAGAGAGAGAGAGAGAGAGATCATAAAGAGTTAAAAGATGCAGAGAGAAGGAGAGGGCAAGACAATAACAGAGTGAACAAAACAGAGAGAACGGAAAAGAAAAATAGAAATGCCAGCAATATTTTAAATACAGAAGACAGACCAAGAGAGGATTTTGCTGCAACTGACCTGAGCAGGATCAAATTACTCTGCACTGCACTACACACACACACACACACACACACACACACAAGGTGTGTTATGCTGACATCAGGTAGACACCATTTGTGTGTGTGTTATTTCTGAGCAGAGGACGCAGTGTGTGTGTGTGTGTGTGTGTGTGTGTGTGTGTTTACTCCTTGCTAGAGTCACATAGTGTGTGTGTCAGACAGTCATGAGGATGCTGGCTCTCTTCTGTTTAATTTCACTGGCGGCTCCTCTAACGGACGCATGGAGACCATCTAAACCACGAATGCACTTCCAACACTCAGGTGAGGCAACTGACTTTCTATTGACTTTTCACACACAAACCTTTCTGCATTTAACACTGCATTGTTCATTTTCAACCACAATGTAGATGATATATAATAGATTTAAAATCATTAACAAAGCTTAGGTCATTTAACATATAGTACCACATTACCACATGATCTGTTGGTCTGGATATTTCATAGTGCAACACTAAGGTGAGACAACTGACTTTCCATTGACTTCTGATGCTTTTCTATTGAGCAGTTGGTATTTTTATCTCTTAAAGGGATAGCCACCCAAAAATGTAAATTCTGTCTTCATTTACTCACCCTCAAGTTGTTCCAAACCTATATGAATTTATCTTTTCTGCTGAACACAAATATAGATATTTTGAAGAATGTATGTTGATGGATCGCATTAACTTCCATAGTGGGGAAAAATACTGCTGAAGTCAATGGGGCCCATCATAGGGTCATTCATCAAATGCACTATGCGGCACCACAGTTCCATAATAAATATGTTCTATTGGTCTGCTCTGCTTTTCCCAAAAGCATCGTAAGCTTAAGTTGATCGTAGAACAATTACCACCATTGGTGTCTACGATCAACTTGCAGGCTTTCGATGCTTTTGGGAAACGCAGCCCTGCATAGTGCAGACAACTGACCTTCTATTGAGCAGTTGGTATTGCCTAACCCAAACATAACCCTCTCTGCATGTAACAATCTAATCCAGACATTATTTGTATGTTAATTAAGCTATTTTCTTTCCACAATGTATATATGATTTTAGGTTTTATTCTTGTGGACTCACATACAAAAAAAATATTTAGTCTTTCTTTACTCCACACACAAACTCTTTCTCTCTTTTTAACCCAATTACCCATCTGTAATCAGCCATGGTATGACAGGAGTATATCATGTGGGACATTGTGCAGACAAAAATGTCTGTGCGTTTCTCCATGACCTAGAAAACCCTGCACAGATAGCTATTAATCCGTCACACCTTTCTGCCTATCAGGGACAAACAAAAGTGTATGTGATGTGATTTGTGTGTGATTTGTGTATAAAGTGTTTGAGTTTAGAAATTTCTTGGAGTAATACATATCCTAATTCATCTCTCTCTCTCTCTCTCTCTCTCTCTCTCTCTCTCTCTCTCTCTCTCTCTCTCTCTCTCTCTCTGTGTGTGTGTGTGTGTTGTGTTGTGTTTACTTGGATTTCTTAATTACCCAATTAGCCTTTCATTCACGCAGACTCTCAAAGGCTATGAACATAAGTGTGTGTTTGTGTTAGGGAACGTCTGGTGGTTGATTATTATACAGCTCATTTTGGCTTGATTTCCTTAATGAAATGATAAATGACCGCTCTTGAGTAGCGTATACATACAAAAACAACAATTTTGTGGGATTACATAAGTGAAATCACATATCACAAAAAACAAACAAACATATACTGTATTTGCTGACTATATACAGTAATATATATTCAGCAAATCCTTCAGTTGAACCATAAAGAATCTATTTTCCATCTGGTCTGTTGTGATTGGTCAAATTGCAGTTGATTGGCCTTCAGTAGACGTGATTGATTGAACATGAGCATAAATCAATTAGCTAAGCTCTGGCAGTATGTGTGTGTGCATTTGAGTGCTATAATTATGATGTATACTATTTTTCTCAGATCAAGGGTCAAGGTTAGTAGGTCTGACTGACAGAGATTTGAGAAATACCAGAACACAGCAATGTGTGTTCGCTAGTTTATTTTGACTGTGTTTATGTATGAACCCTCCCCAGTCACAGACTTAGTCGCACCTGTTAGCATTTCCACCACACACATATAACATACCAGCTGGTGGACTGAGCAGTAATAGCTGATAACTCAATTTGCACAAGAAGTGTGTACTGTTTGTTTTTGTCCACCAGTAGCACTATGGGAAAATATGTGCTCAAGGAAACACACCCTAACTTTCATTCACACTTGCAGTAAAGTGTATGCCTGGTAAAAACCAGACCATCTCAGTTTGTAACTTTCAAAGCAAATCCAAATTTGCCGGAAGTTGTCTGGGTTTTCCCAGGCTATGTATGAAGAGTTCAGATGCAAAAGCCTCTAAATGCCATTTGAAATTTTCTTCTTTAATGATGATTTTTTTTTATCAAACTTGTATATTTAAGTTCAGTAATTTCACTTAAATAACAATTAATAGGTAATCTTCATTGCCATTTAAGTGAAATCACTGAACTTAAATATACAAGCTTGATAAAAATGATCATTCTAGAAGAAAATTTCAAATGGCACTTAGAGGCTTTTGCATCTGAACTCTTCGTATGCTTGTGAGCATACACTTGAAATGAACTCTGTTTGTATCATTGAATCATTTTCTTTTACTGTAAATCTTCTAGAAACAATCTGTATTAATAAAGGTGACTTGACTTGATAAGCTTTCTAATCGATTTAGGTTTCATTCTGATATTTCATAATATTCATTTAAAATGTCCATTTTGCTTGGAAAGGAATCTCTCTCGGCTAATCCTGTAAAGAGCTTGGTTTGATTTATCTACATTCGTCATCATGTTGTGTTAAATGTTTGGTCTCAGCATCATCTGTGCTCGCTGAGAGCTGCGAATGTGCCAGGCCACCTGAGGCTTACCCAAGGACATCTTTCCCCCAGGGGAATGGTCCCTGCAACCCCAAACAGTCCAGAAACTATGGCGCCTTTTCAGGAAAGCAGAAGTCAACCTATTTGCGTCAAAAGACCATGCTTACTGCCCAAATCTGGCCCAGACGCCAGCTGTATGCCTTCTCTTCGATCTCTCTGTTGCCACAGGTAATCAAGAGGATTAGGGAACTCAGTGCTGCTTACAGCCTACAAGAGCTGTTGGATAAGGGAAGGTCCCCATCCACACTTAAAGTCTAGGTGGCGGCCGTTGCAGCGTTCGCAGAGTCGACATGTGGCCGGTCACTAGGAAAAAATTAGCTTGTCATCCGCTTCCTTAGAGGAGCCAGATCCTATGTGGGATCTTTCGTTGGTCCTCGATGCCCTGAAAGCTTTTCCCTTTGAGCCACTAGATTCTGTGGAGTTCAAGTACCTGTCACTCAAAACTCAAAAATGTTTTCTGACTGCTTTGCCTTTGTCACCAGTTAAACATGTGGGAGACTTACACGCGCCGTCCGTCAGTGCTGCGTGTCTCGAGTTCAGGCCAAATGACTAAGTCATCCTCAAACCTAGACATGGCTATGTTCCTAAAGTGATTGGCACTCTTTTCAGAGTGCAGGTCTTTTCTTTATCGGGTCTGCCATTCATCTCCTCTGCCCGGTCAGGGCACTGAGGGTTTACACTGCGCGCTCCGCCCCTTTCAGGTGCTTGGAGCAGCTTTTTTATTTCGTTTGGTGGGCACACCAAGGGTCTCGCCGCCTTGAAACAAAGCTTGTCCAGATGGATTGTGGATGCTATAGCGTCAAAAGGTCTGTAATGCCTCTTGGGCATCAGGGCTCATTCCACTAGAGGCACGGCTTCATCGTGGGCATGGTCCAGTGGAATTTCTTTTCACAACATATGTGTGGTGGCCTCTCCGTCCACCTTTGTCAGGTTCTATAACCTAGAAGTTCCTTTTAAAAAAAGTCTGTTTAAGTAAGATGTACGTTTCTGTCCAGATATGATCGTGCTCAGGTTCTAATGTGTCTTAGCTCTTTTGGTTGAACTGCACCAGTGGGTATGTGCTACATGCTTATACAGGCGGCGCCGCTCTGTATTCCCTATGAGTGCTTTTGTACAAGTGCTGGCCCGCGTTGCTTGCCACCTTATTTATCTGGGTTCCCTGGGAAACCCTTGGACTCATGAGTGGATGCTTGGCGCGCACGGCGTTGACAAAGGGTTCCCGTAGCGTAAGCTAACTAACGCAATACAAGAGAGAACCTGTCGTAAGAGAAAGTATTGGTTGCCTAACGTAATCTCGTTCTCTCTAGAAGAGGGAACGAGTATTGCGTAACCTGCCGCGCTCGTGCCACAGGCGCCTTGAGTTGGACCACACAGTTGCGTTGTATGGTTGTATGTTAGTTTTTGCGTGCAGTCCGTGATTTCATGGTAGGCAGTATTTTTATTTTATCACATTGAATGCAAACTGCAAACTCACATTCACAATTCAGGTAGCCTACCCTTTCATTTCCTTTTGCTGACATTTACAATATGGTGCTTTTAAAAACATTACACTGAAAATAAGCATAAAGTAGAATATTGATCTTAGAATTTTATTTGATATCGGGATTGTTCAAAGGAAGATCACGATTAAATGTAAAAAAAAAAATTGTTTTGAAATACGTATTGTTGCTGGGGTTGGGCTTGTGCTCATGTGCATCGATGTAGTATTAATTGAGTAATCCCACATCAGTCTCCCTCATCATTACTGAGGTAATCTAAGGTTCAGATATAGCCTACACAGCTTGTGTGTGGTTAAATATACAACACTAGGTCTGTATGTGGCTAAATATACCCTCAGCTGGTCATAGAGTGATGGACAGAAAGGGTTTGTGACTTTGTGTTTGTGTGTGTGTGTAAAAGAGTAAAATGACTGTTGTAGTTGTACTAATGGTATAAGACCATCAGAATGTCTCACTGTTTGTCTAATTTAGTTTATGACTAAAAAGGTCATGAGTCAAACTAAGACTAGGGATTTCTAGACCACGTCATTAAAACTCACTTCCTGTTAAACACACGGGAGACAGGTGCACACCATCCCATAATCCATTTGAGTGATTTTAGCACACACTACACACCCTTGTTGCCACAGCAACTGCCCCAAGAAAAGGGGCAATGAGTAGGACTGGTGCCACTGAGAAAAAGCCAGGAATGTGTGTGAGGTTGCAGGCTGTGACAGATTGTGTGCATGTGCCTTGTGAACAGCTGATTTGTGTGTGTGTGTGTGTGTGTGTGTGGGTGAGAGGATATTTTAAAGGAGTGATGAACATGCTAGCCTACAGAAAAACCAACATGATATGTGTGTGTTTGTATATTATTTTTGAGCCGCTAGATTTTTGGTGTAGCCTATTAATATCTGACACACTCTCACTGTAAATTTATTTCCCATTATTCTCTGGCATATTTTCAATTTTTGTATCTATTCTATTCATCTCATGGGTTATTTTATCTCTCTGTCATCAGATTTTTGAACAGATTATTCCGCCCAACGGTGAGTCTGTCTGGTCCACATATTTTTATATCATAGACAGTAAAAGAAATGGACACAGCGACCCTATAGACTTCAATGGAGAAAAGTGAAATCTATTAATTTAGAAGCACTCACTTCCTGATTGCCAAGCGTACTGCGCAAGCTCAAACTGAGCTTGATGACGTAGATGTGATGTGAACAACCTGTACGTAGCTGTGCCAAGAGGACTCTGAATCATTTCCGTTTTCTGCATCGTAGAAATAAGAGGGATCTGTATTTGCCATGTTAAGGAGAGTTAGTTGTAATATTTATTGTTGTGTTAAAAGTTATTTGTCTGTGTACTCCGGTTCAAAGAGGCAGGGAAGGGCGAAAAATTGCCTCTCATTTTCTCCTGTTTTCTCCAAGTGTTAACTACTGAACAATTATTATTATTATTTGAAAATTCTGTTTTTTCCTGTAAATAACGATTTAACATTCAGTCTATTCCTCGAACAAAGCTATTGTGGCCTATATCCTCAGAACGATTAGACCTGGAGTTTTAGACCCTTTTCTTTTTTGTCATTTTAGAGCTTGACAGCCTCATTTACTGTTATTCTATGCTGTTATTACATTGGAAAAAAATTGACTGATATTCTTCAGAAATTCACCTTCTGTGTTGCAAAGAAGGAATAAACTCATCTTTCTCAGTTTTTTCCCCTTTCCTTCCTATATAAACAATAAAGCTAAATTGAATTATTTCTTTGGCCTGTCAGATATGAAGTATTTGTGATTGAAAACAGAAATCCTGCATATAAGCTGAACTCACATCAGCCAAGAGGATCTTCAATCATAATATATATATATATATATATATATATATATATATATATATATATATATATATATATATAATAAAATAACCTGTTCTCTTTCTTTCTATCTCCCTCTCTCTGCCACAGAGCTGGAGCAGAGCGGCAGGCTCATGTCTCTCTCTGTGCCTGCTGGGGATCTGAACTCTCTGCTGCCGGATGAAGACGGTCGTCGCCTTTACATTGGTATGAAGGACCATCTGCTGTCCACCAGCCTGGATGATATTAATCAAACCCCCCGCAAGGTATGTACACACCCCCACACACGCTGTTTCTCTTATATACTCAAGTAAGGGACGGTTTACTTGAAAATTAAGTCTTTTGTTATATACCCTAGTGCTTTACAAAAGTTGAAGTTTAACAGAATGTTGATGCTGCTCTTTTCCATACAACGAAAGCGAATGGTTACCATGGGCTGTCAAGCTTAGAAAAATCCAGACAACTTGTTACTCAGAAAAATATCGGCCTCAGCCGATTTGGAATAGATCACATATTAACCACATGGAGTGATGTTATGGTACTTTTAGTTGTTGTTTTTTAAGCTAGACAATCAACTTCCAGTTCAATTTAATTGTACAGAAGAGAGAAGCAACTTGAGGACAATATTTTTTATTAAAGGATTTTACAGCAGATTACTGCAGTATCAAATAAGGAAGCTTTTAGTTTTTATCTTAAAAACTGTCCCAGCCTAAAAAAAAAAAAAAAAACAACAAAAAAAAACAACAACATTTTTAGCATATGAAATTGAAAGACACAATAAATGTATGATTGTTTTTCAAACATTTGTTTTACACCTGTTTTGCATATGAGGACTGTGAGTGTATTTCTGCAGGTGTGAGTAAGAGTGTGTGATCCCATCCCTGCTTGTCTACATAACTAAGTGTGTGTTCATAATCATTTCATCTGAGTAATTCCAGAGTGGCATTCAACTGTAATTCCTTACATGCTACTTGATGAAATCAGCATATGCATCAACATTTAATATGAGTAAGAGAAGCTTTCATGCATACTTGGACACGAAATTCATATGTGCGTGTGTGTGTGTTTGTGTGTGTGTGTGTGTTGGTACTGTATTTCAGATCTACTGGCCTGCAAATCTAGATCGGATTCAGGACTGTATAATGGCTGGGAAAAATCTGCAGGTAAAACATGATTTTATGTACCACAGTTGACCATGGAGACAGCTTTTCTTGAAGTGTCTAATCACAAACAAATTAAATCATTATAATTTTAACTGTCTGGATAGGTTATTAGTTCTGCCTGTATTGAAGCTCATTCGACCCTTAAAAGCAGTCTTTGTTCATGAGTGCTTGTTTCCTGTTTGTCACAGATGGACTGTGCTAACTTCCTGCGTGTGTTAGAGCATTATAACCAAACACATCTTTACGCCTGTGGAACTGGAGCGTTCAACCCTCGCTGTGCCTTCATCCCTACCAACCTCTTCCTCAGGGTAAAAAAGGACAAAATTTCCCACCATGCACCTCTCTCACATAACTGCTTCCTGCTGTGTTTGTGTACTTATGTTATTTGATGTGCATTTATCATGTACTTTGCATGTAAAGTCAAGTGATTAAATAGAAAATGTCAGATTTAATTAATTATTTGATCAAAATAATTACAATTTAATAAATGTGTTTATTGAAATAAAAAGTGTGACATATAGATCCAAAATAAAATAAAATATTGTTTTATTAAAATGTTTATAGTTTACTTAATTGTTTTTAATTAACTGAAAATGTGCTAGATACATATACAAACGAAAATAATAAAATAATAATAATAATTAAAATCTTAAAATAAAATAAAGTGTTACATACAAATCCTAACAACAATAAAATAAATATTACTGTAATAAAATAATTAAAACAAAAAAAATTGTTTTTTTTAATGTGTATAGACAAAAATAAATTATTTGAACTGTAAATAATGTAACTGGGTTTTTCAGGCCGAGGAAATAACGCTGCAGTATGAAGACACCGAGTCAGGGAAGGGAAAATGTCCGTACGACCCTCACCAGAGAACAGCTACAGCTATCATAGGTAAGACAGTGTGTTTATAGTTTGGCGGTATAGTTTATATGTTTGTGTAAGAACATACCAGTTTAACTCTGATCCAAATCTTTGTGTGTGTTTGTTCAGACGGTGAGCTGTACGCTGGAATCTCATCTGACTTTCTAAGTCATGATACTGCTTTTATTCGGAGTTTGGGGAAGCGACATGTGATTCGCACTGAACAATATCACTCTACATGGCTGCAAGGTGATACTGTGCAACCACATACACCCCAGTATAGTCTAAAAAAGTTAGACTATGACTTACAAATATACACACACAGCATGTTGTTGACAGCCATTAAGAATGCTCTGTGCTCTAATGGTTAAACACAATGAAATACCACATTATATATACACAATAACAGATTTAAGTGTTAGTTTAAATGTATTTTTGTCTCTCTCCAATTCCTCTCCAGGCGCGGAATTTGTGCATGTTGCAGCGATGTCAGAGAGCGATAATGAGGAGGATGATAAGGTCTACGTGTTCTTCACTGAGCGCGCTCAGGAGGCAGAAGGGGCCGCTGGGAAGGTCCTCTATTCTAGAGTTGCCCGCGTCTGTAAGGTATCTAGGAGTGTGTTCCTACGTGCCTAACTGCACTTGTGTGGCCACTGTGCCCATCTCTGTGAATCTGATTGGATGTGCTGGCTCTGACTGTTCCTCTGGATATATATATATATATATATATACTCACCTAAAGGATTATTAGGAACACCATACTAATACTGTGTACTTTGACCCCCTTTAGCCTTCAGAACTGCCTTCAGAACTGCCTTAATTCTGCGTGGCATTGATTCAACAAGGTGCTGAAAGCATTCTTTAGAAATGTTGGCCATATAGAAAGGATACACCACATCCCAAAGATGCTCTATTGGGTTGACATCTGGTGACTGTGGGGGCCATTTTAGTACAGTGAACTCATTGTCATGTTCAAGAAACCAATTTGAAATGATTCGAGCTTTGTGACATGGTGCATTGGAAGTAGCCATCAGAGAATGGGTACATGGTGGCCATAAAAGGATTGACATAGACAGAAACAATGCTCAGGTTGGCTCTGGCATATAAAAGATTCCCAATTGCCACTAAGATGCCTAAAGTGTGCCAAGAAAACATCCCCTACACCATTACACCACCACCACCAGCCTGCACAGTGGTAACAAGGCATGTAAATATAAAATTGAGATATAAACTCGCAATTCTGAGGAAAAGGTGTTAAAAATTAGGTAAAAGGTCCTAATTAGCTTTTGTATCTGTGGCACAAAGACATTTCCATAGATTTCTGTCATTTGAACTTGGTAAATTTTTTAGTAATAACCATACAAAAAGTATTAGTGGTACCAGTGGTAAAGTTATCAGATGGTAAGGCCATAACACTGTCATATATGTTATCGGAACGAGTGATTACCATATTCATGCTCAAGGGAATTTATGTCTACATAAAGAACATGCCCCAAAAAAAGGGGATATTATGGTACTATATCAGTGTGTTTATCTCTCTTTTTTCTCTCTTTCTAGAATGATATTGGTGGTCAGCGTAGTTTGGTTCATAAATGGAGCACCTTTCAGAAAGCTCGAATTGTTTGCTCCGTACCAGGACCTGACGGCATACACACCCACTTTGACAAACTCCGTGAGTAATACACATGCCACATGAAATGCCACACACACAAAAAAAAAAACCATTTCACTCCCACATGATTACCTTACCAAAGTTTAAGCAAATCTCTCAAATTAAATAAGGCTTTGAGATAAGCTTGTACATTTTTTAGAATATTATTTATACTGTTGATAATGTGTGTGTGTCATTATGCCCAAACGTCCCTGATTTATGTAAAACGTTTATCAGTACACTCACACACACACACACACAAACCACACACAGAGTCAGTCAGAAACCGGTTTCTTATCAATCAGTCTGTGTAAACAAAGTCCTCGCATAGAATAAACAATTCTTGAATCCTCAGTCTGACTAAAGTTTTATTGTAATCTCATGCTCATATTATATCTAAGATACACATTAAAACACATACAGTACATATTCAAATGTTAATCTCCGTTATTAGATGACTACATTGATGATAGCACACCCCCTAAACAATTTTACACAAATATCATATAAAACACGCAATAATCAGAAATCAAGAATGTCTTCCGTATCTGACTGCAGCTTTATCAAATCTGCAAGCGGCTCTGAACAGAACTGTTCATTGTCCAGCGCCATGGTAATCTTTAAAGAGCTAGGTTTACATAACTTGTTTAACTCAGTGCATGTTATGTTCAAGTGTTGGAGAGTTGTGAAATGTGTTTATTTCTTGGCCTACCAAAGTATTTAGAACATGCAAAACAACTTTGTTCTGATTGGTGAACACTTTCATGTTTACTTTGACTGTAAAGTGGTATTGATTTACATTATAAACCTGCTGTAATGCTAATATGCATCTCATCTTAGCTATACTTTATGGTGGTAATCCATAGAATTCCCTTCAATGTCAAGTTTACTTTGTGCTCCACGGCCCCTAAACAACTACATCTACCATAATCTCCCCCTACATCAGGGACCCTCATGATGCCATAGCTATGATGAGCCAGAACACACTGCAGACCGTAAATGTTCATCAATAATAGCAGTGTTGTAGTACTCGAGACTCGGACTCGGTCTCGAGACCATATTTTAATGGTCTTGGTCTTGTCATGGACTCGTGTCCATTTGGACTCGGAATTGACTCGTACTCGAACATTTTTTTTTAGGACTCGGAATTATTCCCGAGTCCACTCGAGTTCAATTCAAAATATTTTTCATGATTATTAATGTATGTTAATAAAATATGTCTTTAAATTGATTGACACGCCCAGTGATTGCTGATTTTCTAGTGCGCAACTGCGCATGACAAATTGTAATAAAATTACATTTAACACCACCTATGTGGCCTTTTTACCCTAAACTGATCATATTTTTTAAACTCTAAGTAAATTCAATAAAAAAAAAAAAAAAAAAAATAAAAAAAAAAGAAGTTTTAGATATATTTACTGAAATTTAAAAAAAAAAAAAATAAAAAAAAAGGATTTCTCTAAGTAAAATAGGTAATCGACCCTCACTGGTCTCGGTCTCGACTCGGACTCGACCGTCTCTGGTCTCGGACTCGACTCGGACTCGACTCTCTATGGACTCGGTCTTGACTCGGACTCGACTCTATCTGGTCTCGGTGTCGACTTGGACTCGAGTGAGGTGGTCTCGACTACAACACTGAATAATAGTTAGTTTATACTGCAGAGTATGAGAAGAAGCATGCAAAAACTGACAATCAGATGCGAGTTAAGAACTACTAGGTTGCTGTTAGTTGTTGTGGCTCTAATTTTGAAGCTGTTGAATTGTTATGTATGATCTGTTCAGAAGTTTAAATAATGTGTGTTTGATTGATGAATGGGTGTGTTTATTATCTGCCATTCATGGATTAGTCTTGTGTTTGTGTGTGAGTGTTTTGGAGTCGGTAAGATTTTTTAAAATGTTTTTGAAAGGTGACTGACCAAAGCTGCATTTATTTGACCAAAATACAGTAAATATTCTAATATTGCCACAATTTAAAATAATGGTTTTCTATTTTAATACTTATTCAAATGTAATTTAATCATGTAATTTTCAGCATAATTACAGCAGTCTTCAGTGTCACATGATCCTTCAGAAATCATTCTGATACTATTGACATAGTGAGGAGGACAACTGATATTTACATATATGTTGACTTGACGCATTTTTTATCACAAATTAACAGAACACCTAAAAAGGGAAATTATTCCTTATTGTTATGCACATTTTATAGGATCTAGAAGTTTTGTCACAAAGTGGCCTAATTTCTTCAAATCCACCCTAAATGTTTAGCATTTTTGATCCGCATAATGATGAATATATCTCAAAATGAGTGTGCCAGTGAATATGCCATTTGTCTTGGTGGTCTGCTGAATGTTTTGAAGACCATCAGTATCTGTGTGTGTGCATTTTCACGTCTACGGTGGCACCCCCATCCTGTTTTCACATAGTCTACTGGCTAGATGGGGATGAGGGAGGACAGCAGAGAGCAGGGGAATCAGAGGTTAGGATGGATAAGAATGGATAGGGGCAGGATAGAGAAGTGTCAACAAGTGCAGTACAGACAAAACTATCTGTCCTCAGGGGGAACATAAGCTTTTGTTGGAGGAAATTGACACAACTATAGCATCCTCGCAAAAGTGAAAGAGAAGAAGAGCCAGATAATAGGGGGTGGTGAAAACAATCTGGAAAGGAGGAGAGGAGAAAGAGATGGAGGAGGGGTGGGACAGAAATGAGGGATAGTAGTGGGATTGAAAGGGAAAGATGGAGTGTGAATGCTTAATTCAACGGATTATTTTGGTTTGAGTGTAAAATATGAGGGAAAACAGAGCGGCTGTGTTTATGTGTGTGGTTTACCGCAGAACAGTGTGTAATTAAGGTTTCAACCATTTTATAGTGCAGATCTAGTTTATGTTCTCGCCAGTTTTAAACCAGTTTTTTACACTTGTTTTGCATATGAGGACTGTGAGTGTATTTCTGCAGGTGTGAGTAAGAGTGTGTGAGCCCATCCCTGCTCGTCTACCGCCAGTTTTTATGAGAGTCAGTAAATTTGTAGTACCATGTCTGGTATAGCATGAATGTTTAATAATGTAGTTTCCAACTGGTGGGTCATGCCCCTTATTTTTTGTTGATGTCAAGGACTGTGTGTTTGATCAAACTATACAGTATTTTATTTTTAAGATATTTTAATGTTTTTGAAAGAAGTCTCTTATGGTCACCAAAACAGTAATATTGTGAAATGTTATTACAATTAAGCTTCACTGAAACTCTCATTTGGACCTTGAACTGTTTGGTTCCCAATGAAGTCAATTATATGGAGAAAAATCCTGGAATGTTTTCATCAAAAACCTTAATTTCTTATGACATGGATATCTTGGATGACATAGCAGGGGTCAGTAAATTATCAGCAAAAGTTTTTTTTTTTTTTTTTATAAAAGTGAACTACTCCTTTTACAACTACTGTATTTTGTCTATGTTTTGGGCTGCACTAGATATCCACTGTCAAATCTGGGTCCTGAAGAAAAACCAGTTGAGAACCACTATCTTAACGTGTGTGTGTGTTTGATTTGATAAGGCGTTTGATCATATCTGGCATGACTGGAATTTGAGAATGAAGAAATGAACTAGCGTACCCTCAACAGCAAAAGTTCATTGTGAAGATATAGATGTGTGTGTTTTTAAACAAAAGTAAAACCGCACGTTTGCTGCATTACAAACGTTTATTTGTATGAGAAAGAGAGTGTGACCAGGTAAATATTCTTTTCATAAGTTTATACAGCCCTGCCTGAGAGGAAACCAGAGACCACACACACTCTCTCATTATTGACTGAAGCTCACACAAAGCACGCTTAATATTGTAACCCTGTTTTCTGTTTTTCTATAGAGGACATTTTCATTCAACATGGAAAGGACAAAACAAACCCCATCATCTATGGGCTCTTCACCACTACCGGGTGAGTCTAACACACTGACCTGGTATCACATTTTTAACCAAGACCAAGAGCTGACTTTAAAAAAGGAAATTTCTCTCAACTTTTTCTCACCCTCACAACATTCCAAACTTCCAAAACTCCAAACTTTGACTTTCTTTATTTCATAAAACACAAGAAGAGATGTTTTTTAGGATGTTGGTTCTACTCTTTATCATAAAAATATGCCAATCAACAGTAAGGGGCTTATACACTCATGATGGGGGAGGAGAGAGAGCTCAGTGCACAAGACAGACATAGAGTAAGATGGCAGGCAGTGAAAAAAAAAACAAAAGAGGAAAGGGCCAGGGGAATATAACATTACAAAGATGGGTTACGTTCAGGCAAGAGGTAGCACCTGCGAAATATCGGAGATGCTTTCCAGCACTGGAGAGACCTTAAGGAGTGGGAAGGCCTGAAAACGTTTCTGCACACAGAGCTATTGTATGGCTTCAGAAGTCATGTTCACAAGTGTAATTTTACTTTTATGGTGCTGTCCTGTCGTTTTTGGAGCTTGACGGTCCCTGGTCAGCCTTCACTTTAATTGTACAGAAAAGAGTAGTATAAAAATCTTGAAAACTCTGTGTGTATGTGGTTAAGGGTGTGGAATTGCAGTATTACTGAGTCATACTTTCCAGCAGGTCAATGGATGCACCCATGAAGTTTAAAACACTTTAGAAGTTGAACCAATTTTACATCAGCCATCTCAAATAGCATATGCCTTCATCTTTCTTGTTGAAAATGTGTGCCTGTGTGTCTGCCCAAGGTTTTGGAGAGGGTTGCTTAGGGTGGAGTGCACATGAAGTATGGATTAGGAAAAGGCCGTTTGGAAAGAGTGACAGTGTTATTGCTCTCTGTTGAGCTGTTCAAATGAGTGTGTTAAATCTCTCAGAGGCTCGTAAAGACTCCTGCTTTCACGGCAGACCCAGATTCAATTCACTTCAGACCAGATGCCACTGCCACTTTCATTTGTGCCACAAGAGCTGGGTTTTAATTGGATATATAGGTCAAAACTCGTTGGAGAATTGATTAAGATGAATGCTGTTGATATATTGTGATTGATTCTTAAATGTTTCTAGTGTGGATGCTGTCTACTTATAACTCTCAATCAATTAATAATTCATGTATCTATTTTTATGTTTGTGTTGGTTTCCTCTCTCAACAGCAATGTCTTGAATGGATCCGCTGTGTGCGTGTACCGCATGCAGGACATTATTAGAGCTTTTAAAGGAAACTTCCTTCACAGGGAGGGACAACAGTACAAGTGGACAGAGTATGCAGGCCGAGTTCCCTATCCCAGGCCTGGCACAGTGAGTCTTCTCAAATCTCATAATTATTTTCATGTTATGGCCGATATTCAAAATCTGTACTATTTTGTCTAAATAAACTAAAAAATAAAATCAATAATTCTACAAAATAATTTAGGCATCAAAACAGTGTAATGTTGTGCATGATTTATTTTATTAATTTTGAGATTTGCTATTGTCATTAAATTATTAGTATTTTTAAAAGATTAACTTTGAATAATCATAAAAAGTTTTATTTAGATAGCATCTTTCCAGGGCTCAAGAACGTTTTACAATGAACAAGCAACAATAATGCCAATGGATAATGATAACAAACAAAACAACAGTAGGTAAATGATAGTAAAACTACAGTAAATTAGAGTTCTCAACGGGCCTGAAAATTACAACCCGACCCGACCCTTGGCTTTTAAAGCCCGAACCCGATGTAACCCGACACATCAACATTATCTGCCCAAACCAGACTTTCTTTTTTTCTCATACAAGTATTATCATGACCAGCGGCTACTTTTCACACCACACAATTTTTGCCGAGTTTTGAAACAAAATAGGCCTAGCATACAAACATAATCGTATACTTATAAGGCATCGTGGAGGAACAGTAATATGTGCACAGTGGATGGACTGAAGTGTGCTAGCCACCTGCGATGTACGTTGCACGCAGCAGCCAGACTTTCTTTATGGTGAACAGCAGCGATGATTAATAAATGTTTTCACTGTGCGAAAAAGATTAAGCCTGAGGTCCGAGTCATTTACTTATATTTTCGACCCGAACCCACGGGTCCTGTTGAGTTTTTCGACCTGTTGAGAACTCTAGTAAACTATAATTATGTAGATGCGTAGCATACAGTACACAATCAGACCCAACAAAATGTAGTACAATGTAGTATGGTGACATTCAGAAAATAAGTGAGCATAGTTTTACATTCAGAAATGGTATTGACACAATGGAGTGATCGGGGGAGAGAGTTCCATAGTTTGGGTGCTATGACACTGAATGATCAGCCCCCCATTGAAGCAAAGCGATGCCATGGGACAAGCTGTGCAGAGATTTAAAAGTGAGCAAGAGTTTGAATTTAACAAATAACAGTATTGGTGAACTTCCTGTCAATATTCAGTGTCCCAGCAGCACATACGGAGGCTTTAAATCAACGAGGGAATATCCTGATGACGTTATCTTCTTTAGCCGCACGCATCCTTTGATGCAGGAGCCGGTGCATCCTCTTGGGGGTAATCCTTTGCTGATCAGAGTGGGCGTGTCTTATAAACTGACCCGCCTCCTTGTGGACAGAGTGGAGGCGGTAGATGGACAATATGACGTGTTGTTCATCGGCACAGGTGTGTGGTCAATATTAAAATAGAATTTAGAATGTATATTATGTGAGATGTCCATATAGTTTGTGAATATTGTGTGTGTGCAACAACAGAATATTCCAAGACACACATGTGGTTAAGCATAAAAGGCCTTTAATAAATTGAGTCATTAAAACAGTAAAAAAAATGCCTTCCTCATTTTGTGTGCGATTAACATATTTATGTTCGGCCACTCTCAATCTTAACTTTCTTTTTTGTTTGTAAATTTAAAATGTCTACATTAACATTCTAACCTATAAAATACATAAAAGGTTTACAATTAATGAAATACTCAATTGGATGTACTTTACCAGAGAACACATCAGTGAAAGTTTTATGTGTACTGTATGTGTGTATTCAGATTCTGGCCTGGTTCTGAAAGCGATTCACCTTCCTAATGCTAATGGACAGAATCAGGAGGTCACTCTGGAACAGCTGCAGGTTTTTAAGGTAATCTGCTGCTTTAGCATTCCACATTCATTAGGATGGCCTTTTAAACTTTAAAAACAAACTTCTTATCTCCTGTCATTCAACAGAACAAGTCACCAATCACTGCCATGACGATGTCCAAGAAAAAGGTACAATGTCTATCAATGAAAGCAAACGTACATGAACATACACGCTATTATAAATATTCCCATCCTGTCACCATGGCAACTTGAGAGGGTGGAAGATACTTAAAATGAAACTGAGAGTTTTCACACATTTTTCCCCATGAAAGATCTAGGATGGAAGAGCGCTGTAATTCTGGAGCTGTATATGGGAATGTGGTTTAAATGTCTGGGTTTCTGGCCCAGTTTTCCTGCTTACTGAAAAAAGCAGTAACAGGATCACAGCCCATATCATTGTGCGTGTTGTGTGTGTGCTTTGTCTCCAGCAGTGGCTGTTTGCTGGATCAGCAGAGGGTGTGGTTCAGTTGGGTCTGTTCCACTGTGATCTGTACGGCCAGACGTGTGCTGAATGCTGTCTCGCTAGAGACCCATACTGCACTTGGGACGGGCACTCTTGCAGCCCATACATGCCAACAGCACACAGGTGATATGACTCAGGCATATTTTAGCTCGATTACAACTGACTAAGATATTTTAAAAGCATATTGAATGGGCAGCTTGTTTGATAGAATCCATTACATCAGCAGTTTCTCATACATTGAAACAACGTTGGTATTTGGGACATCTCAAATAAATCTGATCTGAAACATTCCTTCCTGTCTACAGAAGAAATATTTGTCAGGTGGATGATGACGGCAACCCGCTGAACCAGTGTGTCAGACATGGAGGTAAGAGAAACTGTCATTTTAATGCTTATTTTTTATGTTTTTTATGCTCTCTCATCATTTAAGCCTTTAGAAAAACACAATTAACGTAAAGCTCTTAAAAATAAGGTGACCATAGAATGAAATGCCATGTGCGCATAGACAGACCAAATATTAATTCAATTAATTATTTATTTAGATTAAATAACCACATAAAATAATAAAGTATAATTATGTAGTATTATTATAATAAAGTATTATTATTATCCAAATAAATGTAATTGTATATAGTAATAATAATAATAATAATAATAATAAGTAATAATATTGTTATTATTAATTACAGTTTGATTGAAAGCCCTATTTATTTCATTTAAATGATTCTTTAATTTAGATTTGAATTATTTCATTTGTTGTTATTCAGCTGGTCTTCAGGTGGAGGCAGAGGAGAAGACACTAGTTGTTGCTGTGGGTAACAGCACCTACCTCGAATGTCTACCCAAATCTCACCATGCCACCGTCACCTGGTATAAAGACATAGGCGAGAACAGTTTGGAGCAACATAAGGTACACCCATCCTTAAAATATGCATGCACACTTTAAAAAAAACGTTATCAATATTGAGATGTCTCTAAATTGAACCATCTGTCTTTCAGGTCACATCTGGAAAGCAGCTGGTTGTCTTCGACAGGGGCATCCTCATTCCCCGGACTGAACTCAATCATGATGGTGTTTATCACTGTCAGCTAGAAGAGCATCAGTTCCGCTGGACAGCCGTTACCATCCGTTTAATTGTGTGGAGCCCCGTCCTGCAGCCCTTCCGTGGCACCGCCCAGCCATGGTACCAGGATGTGATGGCACTGATCAACCACAGCAAACTGGAGCGACACTGCAAACAACTCAGCCAACGTCACAACAACAAGCAATCAGGGGATCACAAGCATAACAAAGCAGACAGAAAGAGAGTAGACCGGCACAGAGGTGGGGGGGAGAAGGAGAAAGGGAGGGGGCGGAAGCACCGGAGCAGAATGCAGAGTTCAGCACAGAGGCTGCCGAGGAGCGCATAGCCAGGTGTTTAAGAAACAAAAAATACAACAAAAACACGCAGTATTCCGTCATATTAAGATTTTGCTCCATTCCAAAACCTAATGAGCTGCCTTGCATGCGCCTAGCATCAAGCTCCGTGACAAAATACATGAGGAAAGAAAGATTTTGATCAATTGAAAAGAAAAAGAAAAATATCAGTATTGTTTGGGATTAGTACCATTTTTTCTATACTTTTATTTATTTATTAAATTGATCAAAAGTGACAGTTAAGAGATTTGTATTTCAAATAAATGCTGTTCTTTTCAACTTTCTAGTCATCAAAAAATCTTGGAAAAAATGTATCACGATTTCCATTAAAAAACGAGCAGCACAACTGTTTGAGATTGTGCCCATGTAGCGAAGCAGCTCACTCACTCATGTTTTGGAGCATAGTTAATATATGAATCATGTGAAGGACTGTCGCTAAGCAATTTAACATTGATCTGGAACGGGTTTGATCTGGAACGGGTTTGGTCAAGAAAAGTGTTTACTTTAATATGAAAAAACGAATTGATTATTTGAGGACTGCATATTTGAAAAATCTTCTAAAGCAAGGGGGTGTCTCTTCTGTTGAATAAAAGTAAAATCTTCCAAAGTTTGGGAGAATCTGAAAAAAGTTCTTTGTTTTAAAAAGACTTCAGTGTTGATGGCACTTTTTTTCATCTGTACTGAAATGTTTTGTCTTATTTATCTTTCATGGTATTTATTTTTCTTGTGTTTTTGTGCTTTGTGTTTATATTGTCTTGCATTTTTACATGGTTCTTTTCCTTTTTGATATTTGATTATATGCTGTAATTCTGTCTCTGACGTCACTCATTAAGGTTCTGAGAGATTACTTTAAATGAATCAGCAAAAGCAAACTCACAAAAAAAAAAAAGAATGCAACAGATCCCATGAGTTGATTAACAGCATATTTCTCTGGGGAACGATGGAGGCACGAAGGGTGTGTTTTATATGATTGGAGTGAAATGCCAGCTTCTTTCTCCTGCACTTGGACACGTGCATTGATTGCCAAGAGGTTTGGCTCTGGCCCTGACGTGCATCCATTCTGAAGGATGGAAAAATTAAAAATAAATTAAGGGAAAAAAGGATTTAAATTCTTTAGAGTACAGTAGAGACAGAGAGAGGAGAAAAGCAAATTAAAATGTGGTCAGGCCAACACCAAAATGACAGACAGAACCAGTGATCTGCGTATATGATGGAGCAGCTTGGTTTGCCAAGAGAGTCAAAACAAATAAAACAAAAAATGTTAACAGCAATAGCATAAACAGAAAATGTAGAATAGATGTTTAATGTTTTACATATAAGGAAGTAAATCCTGCCATCAATGATTTGAACCTTGTGAGTTATAATTTTCTTTGTTTTGCCTTTTACTGTAAATCTGGTTTGCATTAATGGACTTTGAACCTTCAATAAAGTGTTTTGGAAGACTCAACATTGCACTACTTGCTACTTATATGGCTTTGTAATAATAATAACATCAGCGTATTTAGAATAGATTGTTGCAGGGATGACATAAATTCCTGGAAGACTAATTTGCCAGTGGTTTCCTCAATATTTTCCTATGGGTTTTTATAATGGGGTTTTCAATTTATTCATAAAAAAATTACTTCTGTGCCTCTGTGGTAAACATAACTTGATGATACTTGGACGGTACCACTGAGTAAAAACGTTGTTTTTTGGGTTCAAACACTATAAACAGAAACGCTCTCACATTCACACATAATTTTCTCTGGGCTCTGCTTGAGATGTGATAAGCATTTAAATTCCATGAGCACAACAGTGTATATTGCATCCTTCTTCTTATATAAAGGACAGGACACTGGGAAATTGACTAGGCGGGTTGCCTTGGATACGGCTGCCCCTTAAAACACTCACAGAACTGAATACCAAATAGACTTGGAGAGCCTATGACAGTAAATGAGATTGGCGAGGGGGGCGAGATCAAAAGTGAAACACATTAATTCATATCTGTTTAGAAAGATAACTGCTTTGATGTTGTTGAATATTGACAATAAATAAATGAATGTACTGTCTTCGTACATGATGATCTTATTTAGGCTATCACAATTCCTCAGCATACATTATACCAAAGTAAAAAAAAAAAAAAAGTTTCCTTGAATAACTTCCTCCACCTCTGAAACAAATTCCTTTTCAGCTGATGTCATCTAGGCCACACTGGCTTCTGGCAAATATTAACCAATAGCCAAATTGTTTTTGTCTGTAATCTTGCCAATACTTAATGTTGTAGGCTAATTTAATGTTAAAGTTAACATTCAAACAAGCATATGGATTTATACATTAAGATAGGCCTACTACCAAAGGTGAACTTGTCCTTCCGGCTCCACATCCTGGTCAAAAAGCTTCCTCAGGGGTTACTGTGTTTGTAGCCTTAGTGTTTTTTGGAAGTTGTGTGTGTTTAGGAAGTGTTCGGCCTAGATGTTTTTTTTTTTTTTTTTTTAGAAAGTTCTTAATAATTGCTTTGTTCTGCTATGAAACTGCCTTCACAATCTACTACTTTCACAATCTAACACATTTCCACTGCATCCCAACCTGCACTTTGTTGTTGTTGTTGAAGAATAATATACTGTTCCTTTCTTTCTATCAAACTACAGATTTAAAATGAGAATGTTGTTTCATGTCGACTCTACAGTCCCCTATAAAGAGCGATAGAGAGTATGTGAGGGTCAAGACTAGGACTTTGCATTACTTTGGCTCTACTTCAAAGGGCTTAATTACAAGGGTAGGTTTTATTTTTTTGGATAATGACAGGGTCTTAGAGGTTTTGGTCTTGGTCAGGGTTCTTGATGATGTGGTTGACAATTCCTCTAATTCAAGCCAATAAAATGACAGCAGGGTAAAAATACACACACAGCCCTCCACGCTACGCCAGTTCCTGAATCAATTGAATTCGGTGGAGTCTACCGCCCCTTGTGGTAAAATTTGAGTAATGTCTGTCTGGACATGCTGTCTAGTCTAGACAACTCTCTTTTTTGCAAATTAATGAATAGATTAACAGATTTTTTTAATTTAATAATTGTAAAACGCAGTTCTCTGATAACTATATCAAGGTATGAGTATATAAACACACAAAATACTTTTCTTTGCGATGTAAATGTAATACACGCCTTCTGTGTCATGAGATTCATCTCTGTTTGTTATGCGGAACTATAGCGTCAACGTTGTGTTTCCATACGACAAATATTTGTGGCGGACTCAGCTGGCAACCTTCATCCTGGGCGAAGAGCTGCAGGTAAATATTTAACTTCACAAATCATCCATAGAATTACATCCTGTTGAAACATGACAAATCAACCCAAACTCAAAAAGTAATTGTCGTGAAGCTGCCGGTTTTCGTTGATATCTCGCGGAATAACTATGAATTCAGAGGCGAGCATTACAGCTAAAGCTTATCGTAAAGCTAACGTCATGTGACCATTGTTGCTTCCCAAACAGTTTTGTTATCTTTCTATTTATTATTTGGCTTATCTATGTCTGGTTTGTCTATCAGGGATGCTAAAGTATTGAGAAAATGTCGTCGTCTGTAAGCCATGTCATAAAGACCCGTCATATAAGCAAAACAGTGTTTTTGGTGATTTTCTTATCGTCATGATTTCAGTTCCCTTTTTTAGAGACACGCACATTATCACTAGATAAATCTGTCTTTTTAGGTTTTTAGTGATTATGTATGTCTCTAAGTAAATGTCCCATTAAATTGACGAACAACGAATGAACTGACAGCTGTCAAAACAGACGCAGGAAACAGACAATTCATAATGCCTCAGTGTTCACGTGACGTGGAACCTGCAAGATCATTCATGATAATGAGGTTTTGAGTTTATTCTCGCAAAATTAATAAACGAAGAATAAACGTATTTTACGTCAGGGTTATTATAGTTAACTGAAACAAAAACAAACATTTTGTTACTTTACATACATTTTAAAGGAGTAGTTCACTTTTGAAAAAACTTTTGCTGATAATTTACTCACCCCCATGTTATCCAAGATGTCCATGTCTTTCTTTTTTCAGTCGAAAAGAAATTAAGGTTTTTGATGAAAACATTCCAGCATTTTTCTCCATATAATGGACTTCAATGGGAACCAAACGGTTCACGGTCCAAAACACTTTCAGTACAAACTGCAAACTGTTCAAAGGGCTTTAAACGATTACAGACGATGAATAAGGGTCTTATCAAGCGAAACGATCGCTCATTTAATAAATAAATTGCAACGTTTAAGGTTTAAAAATGCTGGAATGTGCCAGAAGGGCCACCACACACCAGCTTACTGGTGGAGAGGGATGAAGGAGCCAATCAGTGTACAGTATGGGGATTATTAGTAGGCCTTGATGGACAGAGGTAAAGGCCGGGGCAAATTTGGCTTTTTAATGACCACAGAAAGTCAGGACCTCGGTTTAATGTCTCATCTGAGGGACAGTGGCATTAGGGGTGTTGGGTCACACACAGACCACTCGGTGAGCACCCCCTGCTGGCCGCAGCAACCTAGTTTTCCAAGGAGATTTCCCATCTAGGTATTGACCAGACTCAACTCTGCTTAGCTTAAGTGGGCAACCAGTCTTGGGCTACAGACTGTGGTATGTTTTTGGAGGGAAAACATTGATTAATTAATTTATCATCATTTTCACTCTTTGTATTGTAAATGTATCTTAGAATACTTAGAATACTCGTCATGTAATAGAAATTAGATAGAAATAATAGAATAGAGCTGATAAACTGTAATTTGTAAATTTGTAATTTGTTTTATTGAGAATATGAGTTGCATCACAAAGCTTTAGCTTTACATCACTGATGATGATTAAATTCTTTTTATTTATTTTCTGTAGTGGGTGGAGGGATGAGCCGCTCTCCTGTGACCGGTCAGGGTGCGAAGGAAGCAAGCAATGGGGTGGAATCCTCTGATTCTCTTAAGGCCTCTGATTGGTCAGGATCTCATGGCTTCACCCTCCAGGGGATAAAGTTCATTGATGGGGCTGATTTTGAGCCTCACATGGAGGCGTCTGCCCTGTCAGAGACTCTGAAACACACACCTCACCACATGGACTCATGTAGAGACACACACACACTCCAGCCACACACAGATCACTCAGAATCACAGCCTACAGAGTCACTGGTTCAACACTCCCAGTGCAGACATATTCCAACTGAAGATGGCACAGATGAGGACACGCTCTCCAGTGAGACCGAACTAACTCACGGCTGCTCTAAAAGAGAACTGGAAGAGTGGAGAGCGGAGGAGGTGAACAATGTCAACAAGAGAGATATCAAGCAAAGGAAAGAGACGCTTATTTCTGTACAGGTAAGAGATTAAATTGAATGTTCTTTTGGTACTTATTCAGTTACATACTGATATATAATTTAATAAAATGCTAACTTAATATTAATAATAACAATATTAGGAAATGTATTCATTACTTTAATATTGATAAATAATTTCTATAAATTAAATTATATCTAAATTTAAGGTGATAAATGAATCTATGCTTTTCTACTCAATTCAATTAAATACTAATATACAATATAATAAATACTAACCTAATTTAACATATTATTTAAATAATAATCATTAAATACTAATCTAATAATACTAATTAATAATAGTTTTATATAAATTAATAATAAATAATAATTACATTCAATTAATTAATAATTACAAAATTAAACTTTGTCCAATTTTTGTGCTGCATATATCTGTTGCTGTTTATCTGGACCTTGTTAATAAATAAACTAATCTGCACATTCACAGCCAGTGGAAGCACTCTCAACCGAACACCCTCCCACTCACTCTGAACCTAAAGAATGGTCTAATCCCGATTCGTCGGATGAAGTGCAAGCGAATACTTCCATTTCTCCTGATGAGGCCCCTCCCCTTGTTCCAGCCCCTCCCCCTGACCAGGCCACACCCCCTCTGCTGCCAGACCTTGATGATTCTCCATGCCCAGCTCACGTGATGGCAGAGGTACGTGTGCGCTCTGTCCCAGAGCGAGATCGAGTCGTGCGTGGCATGCAGGACAGTAAAAGCCTGGATGAGATCAGTGGGGCGTGTGGGGGCGGAGCACGTGGAGGCGGAGCTAGAGGAGGCCAACCGGAAGGACGCCGAGCCACCATATCCAGCGCCCTAGAATTGGAGGGAACCGTCAGCCATGATGGAGATCTTACTCACTTCATCGCCAAAAATCTTGAACAGAAGATTAAAATGAGCTCACGGCCGAGTCTGGACACTGATTGTGAGTATGTGAGGGTGTCAAAAAACTGTTTTGATCTGTTGCAATGCCTTTGTCGTCAGTATAATTAATATTTAAACTTTGTATCACCACTGCAGCAGACTGTTCTGGGCCTGTGGTACGTGGTCGTGGCTCTTTGCGCCGTCCGGCTGATATTCCGCCCATTGACCCATCAGTGCTGGAAGACCTGCATAAACACACACAAGATGTGGCTCAGAGTGTAGAATTGATGCTGCGAAGCCTCAGTGGAACTATTCAGAATGTGAGTATTACTCTGGATCAAATACAGCCACCCAAGAAAGTACTTGGACAATTTAAGCCACAAAATATCAAAAAAGTGCAATCTGCAAACAAAAGATGCTATTTTTTTTTTTTTTTTGGAACTAACTTTTTAGCTTTTTTTTTACCTGTTTTTCCCCAAATGCTCTCAAGGTGATTTTCATTGGTTGTATGAACTATGAAGTCAGTTCCACTCAACTTCACACTTGCCTTTTTTACACTGACGTGATTCCAGTTCTGGTTCCTGGCCCATAAGTGAAATGCTACACAGATTTGATTTGTACCACAGAACTCTTCAGGGTCAGAAAAAAAAAAATGGTTCAGCTTCAGCACCCGTCTTAAATACTTGCTGGTCTTTAACCAGGAAGAGATTGTCAATGTAGATGTTTTGTCATGGCTGTTGGCTACTGTTAACACAAGGATTCATTCTAAAATAACTAGTTTGATAACAACTGTTAATTGGTGATAACTTTGGTCATTAAATAATAATAAAAAAAGAATATTTGCATTTTATTTTTTTATTATGCTTATGCTCTTCAACACTGCATTTTTTTTTGATCAAACACAGTAAAAACAGCAATAGTGTGAAAATGAATAGAATTTTAAATATCGCAATATATTTAAAGCTTAAATATATAATAATACATAAATATATAGTAATATTTCAAGCTTTTTCAGTGTCCAAATACTTTTTCGGGTCACTTTTTATGTAGCTGACCCTCAATACAACCAACATATGCATTTATACAAATCTATGAAGTGCACATACTGTTATGAATGAAAATCTCTTGTCTCTTCAGATGACTGCATTAAGTGTGGGTTATATCCAGACATATAGAGATTCTGTGGACAGTTTGGGAGAGTCAGTGGACATGAGTATAAAGGTGAGAGTGATTTATAGTCATCTATTTAGTAAAGTTTTCAATTTTATTTTACTTAGTTTTTTGATCTGTTTGTGCTTGTTTCTTTATTTCCAGGGAATGTACACACTCATGGCACGGTGTGAGGAGCTGGATCGCTCCATGCAACCTATACATACTCTAGCTGCTCAGATCAGAGACATCAAACGAACCCTTGATGCCCTGGAAACCATCTGCAAGTAACTATGGCAACAAACCACGCCCCTAACCGAGTGAGGACCCCGCCCTCTGCAGTCATTCTGCTACATACTGTGCAATGGAACCATTTAGCTAATTATAATGTTTTCTAGCAAGGCTCTGCAAGTGCTCGCCCCCTTAGAGACAGCTTGGTTCTTGCCCTTCCCCTCGGAGACCACATCTGTAAGCAAGCACCTCTTTTTGTTGTGGCTCCTCCCCGCTAGAAAATCGCTGGTAAAACAGCATCAACTTCTCCTTGTGATTCATGCCGTCCAACACCCTCCACATGACCACAGGAAGGACCCTGTGTCATTGGTGGCTTTTGGGCAACTGATTGGTGTTACCATTGCCCCTGTTTATGAAGTGAGTGAACGCACGTATCGGTGAGTGTTTTCACAGATTGCATCTATTTGTAATGGCCTCAAATTTAAGACAGAGTAGAAGTGTAACACCAATATTTGCCAGTAGGGAAGCCATGCTCTGTGTGTATTTGTTCCACTTGGACGTCAGTGTTTCTGCAGGATGGATGCTATGCATCCCAGGTCAGTTCCTAAATATTTTCTGATATCTTTTACTTGCTCTCATTGCCGTTTTAAACCTATATGGCTTTCTTTTTTTCATGAACACCATAGAAGACATTTTGAAGAATGTGCATATTGCTCTTTTCCATACAGTTACAATGAATGGTTATTGGAGAGTTAAAGCTTTAAAACAGATGCAAAATACCATAACGTGTATAATGATGTACATTTTGGTCTGTTTCTCACACAAAGCTATTGTGCACACATCACATGGACTACTTTTATGGTCTTTTTTTTTAAGCTTGAAAGCTTGAGTCTCCATTTAATAATTGCATGGAAAGGATGTTCTTCAAAACATCTTCTTCTAAGAAAGTCATACAGGTTTGGAATGACATGAGGATAATTAAATGAGGCAAACATTTTTAATTTGTTGGATGAATTGTGCCTAATACAAGCACCATATAGACTCGTCTATGAATTTTAGACTCTTGATTTCCATATTGAGAGTCATGACAGATGTCCCCTTGATTTATTGTATGCAAGTGTTTACCAATAGAAACAACCACAAAATTTAGAGGAAGGTGAGGAGAGATCGGAGGTGGGTGTGAAAAAAAACAGGATGGATGAAAGTTTTATTTTTGAAAATGAATGATCTTTACCCTTCTCCGTTTGGCCCTGTTTAATCCGTTTCTCTCTATCTCTTTATTGCTGTCTTGCTAACTATAACCCTGATTTGTCCAACAATCTGTCATTAATGTGTATTTTAAATTATTATATAAAACAAAATAAATTTGCTAGAATGATCTAACTTGATTTTTCTGCGCCTCTTTGTTCTAGATTTTTAGGGTTAAAATAGTTTGTTGCTCTTACATACATTTGTGTTCTTTTGAGAGTTTTCTCCTTTTGCAGAGTCCAAGTTACGGTACAGCTGGATCCTGATCTGCACACTGATTCAGGGCTAAATTATCGTGTGTGAGAGAGAGAGGTATTGTTACACTGGTGGATAAAAAACACAAGTTTGTCAGCCCTTATGACTGATGAATTCACAGATACGTAAACATGTAGAGACACACACGTGTTAATTATTGAGTTGGACATTGTAGTTTTTTTTTACCATCCTCCTCTAGTTAATATTTCTTTATTGAATAAATTACCAGATTTGCCTTGTAGTCATTCATATCTGTCAGTAAATGTTTAAAAAGGCTTTACGTTTTCATGACGGAGAACAGTGTTTTTCTGTACAGGCTGCTCAGATTATGTGTAAACTTGACTGGTTTCAGATTTTTTCTAAGTCAAAGATAAAATGGAGACTAAACATTTGATTAGATTTTTAAGTTTAGGCAGATAGAGGCCAGTTACACTCTGACCCGTCTGCATTCAGGACATCTCGTGATGGTGATATCGCTTTCCTGTTACACAGGTGTGACGTTGTAGCATGTGATGAGCAAATAAATTAACTTTTTTTGCCCACGTCTGAACTTTTTGTGCTACGTGGGTTAATATCTACTGCACAAATGTTCAAGAGTTTTTTTTTTTTTTTTTTTGAAAGAATACTCTTATGCTCATGCTCACTAAGCAACTGATGCATTTTTTAATAAAAAATAAACAGTAAACCAGTAATGTGAAATATTACTACAATTTAATATCATTTTTCTATTTTAATATATTTTAAAATGTAATTTATTCCTGTGATGGCAAAGCTGAATCTTCAGCATCATTACTCCAGTCATCAGTGTCACATGACCCTTCTAAAATGCTGATTTAGAGGTCAAGAAATATTTCTTATTACTATAAATGTGGAAACTGACATTTTTTCAGGATTCTTTGATGAATAGAAGTAAAGAGAACAGCATTTTTATTTGTAATAGATAATGTTTTTTTTAAGGATGTAAATGTCTTTTGATCAGTTTAATGCATCTTTTCTGAATATAAGTATCACTTTTTTTCAAAAAATTTTTTTTCAAATAAATTCTTTTCATAATGGAAACAGACGGTATAAAGAAGGCATAAGGTATTGGCTTTTGATTAAAAGCAGAAACAAAAGAATATCATACTTTATCGGTATAAAAATTTATTCGGCACTTAGCTAATCTGTTTGGACTATTAGTTTTATACAGTACATTATAGACAGTAGCTAGTTTAAAAACCATTCAGATTCCTTTTATATTTAGATAAAAAAAAAACTGCATCTCAGTTATTTTGTTAATTTTCAAGTGCATGTGATTCAGAACAGATCTGTTCATTCAGTCATATTCAGATTTAAATCTCTTCTCTCAACAAATTTAAAATATTTTTTTTTCAATGGGCAATCAAAATCAAGGCCAACCGGGATTCACAAAAGTCCCGTCACACTCCAGCTCCCAAAACCTCAAACATTAAAGCTGAAGAGAACCAGCGAGGAGAAAAGGATTACGGGAGATTTAAGTGCAGAACTTCCACTGTCCACCGGCTGCTTGGTTGGCACTACTGTCACTGGAACCTCTGGAAGCACTGGAAGCACTGTACTCTGACTCTGGCTTATCTCAATCACTGTCTTTATTGTTGGCGATGTTATTTTCCCTCTGTTTTCAGGCACTGTGCCTGATTCCTGATCTGCTGCTGCACCCTCCAAGGCTTCAAACCACTGGCAGCGGAAGTTCTTCTTCCAGAGGTCCACGCAAGCAGTGGGAAGCTCTCCCGTGGCTCGGACGCCTTCTGCCCCGTTTGGGAGCAGCATAAAGTGGGGCGATGGAAGATGCAGGTATGTGGGGTCCTCGGGTTTCTTCCGCACACAGCGTCCACGGCCCTGACACAGTAAGACTCCACAGAGACGTGCTGCAGTGGTCACATTGACAGCGTAAGGGCCGAGAACCTGACGGACGTACGAGCCAAACTCTGAGCAGGATTTCTGTAGGAGACATAAATATCATCAATCGTACAGCAATCTGTTATGGCTAATGAAAAGCATTAAGATTAGAGCATTAAGAAAAGCATTAAGCATTAAGGACATACACTTTTTATTTAATGATTCAAAAGTTTGGGGTTGGTAAGAGTTAGTAATGTTTTTGAAATAAGTCTCTAATGCTTACCAAGGGTGCTTGATCAAAAATACAGTAATATTGTGAAATATTGTTACAATTTCAATTAACAGTTTTTTTTTAAGTTTGAAAATTTAATTTATTTCTGTGATGCAAAGCTGAATTTACAGCATCATTACTCCAGTCTTCAGTGTCACATGACCCTTCAGAAATCATTCTAATATGCTGATTTGGTGCTCAATGTGATTTATGTTGAAAACAGTAGTGCTGCTTAATATTTTTGAGGGAAAAATGATTATTTTCTTTAAGAATTATTTCATAAGTTTTGAAAGAGAGATCTTTTGTAACATTATACAAATCTTTGCTTTTAATCAATTTAAAGGGATAGTTCACTTTGAAATAATTTTTGGTATGTTTTTAGCTTACCTCAAGTGCATTTTGTATGTGCATTAGTTTCAATTTTGGTATTTTTAGGTGTCAGTCATATAATGTAGGTATATGGGGTCCACCTCAAAGAGCATGCACAAATTAAACGTGATTTAATGACTCGTAAACGTAAGTATGTATTGATGGCCTAAGACACGAAACGAGCAGTTTGTGTGAGAAAATGAACAGTATTTATATTGTTTTTACCTCTTCTACAGCCACGTGAGGGTGCTTTGTGGCTGTGGTTACAAGAGGTAAAAGTTATATAAATACTGTTCGTTTTCTCACACAAACCGCTCGTTTCGTGTCTTAGGCCATCAATGTGTACTTACATTTACGAGTCATTAAATCATGTTTAATTTGGACTTCTCTGTGCATGCTCTTTGAGGTGGTGACCATAGACATCCATTATATGACTGACAGACAACAACGGTTTGACCTAAAAATGTCAAAATTGAAACTACTGCAGAAACAAAGACACCTACATCTTGGATGCTCTTGAGGTAAGCTAAAACATACCAAAAAATTGTTTCAAAGTTAACTATCCCTTTAATGCATCCTTGCTGAATAAAAGTATTTATTTATTACTGACCCCACACTTTTGAACCGCAGTGTAAATGAACAAATGATTAAATGATTACCTGTGTTTTAACTGCTAAGGATTTTTCCCATATAACGACTCCAGATGCCCCCATAGCAGCACTCTCTCCAATTGTATTGACCAGGTCAGTCTGATACATGTACAATACAGAGTAACAATAAAGTTCACAGTCCGTATACTTGACAGCCATCTTGGTCATACAATTACAATTACAACTCGCTTCTACTTGGGGCAAGACTGAAATCTCCAAAAGTGTTAAATGTTTAAATAACATTTCAAATCAGGAATACAATCAGACAACTATATTCACCTAATATAACTACAACATGCTCTTTTAATTATAATGTGGGACTGTTGTTGATTATATATAATTTCTCCCACCCATTTTTACGTCTCCTCCCTATGGAAGCTGTTTCTGTCCCAGAGTAAAAATATGAGAAAGGTAAATGCAACTTTATATCTCACAATTACAACTTGAGATCTCACAGACTTTATATATCATTAATGCTCATTTATATCTCACACTTGTGTCTTCATATCCTGTAATTGTGACTTTATATTTTGTTTGCACTTGTCAATATATCTTGTTGTTATCTATACATTTTGACTATTTTGACTTGTAGTTAAAACTTATACAGACTTATCTCACAAAATGTTACACTTTTTTCTATATATATATATATATATATATATATATATATATACACAGTCACACACACTATTATATAAACTATATATTAAAATATGGCAAACCTGTTTATTACCTCTGAGAGAAAGGTGTTGGAGGATGTATACACAATCTTGATCATCGGAAACACAGGAAGATCAGAAGTAGTCCCTGCGAGAGCTGCCACTCTTAAAGCCTCTCTTATCTGATTGGTTGCATAAAGCCACGCCCCTTTTGTTCCCTCTGGGAGCTTCTCCAGAGAGAGGACTGGATAAAGGGCACCGCTACGCTTCCACAGCCACATCAGCTCATCATTAAGGGCCATTTCCGCCGCAGGGCACCGTCCCGTATAATTGGCTAATGCTATCTGGGTGGAGTCAAAGTTATAGCAGTTAGGATACGGGGCCATGCCCCATAGTCTCTGTGGGCGGAGTCTCTTCACCTCCCACAGCGTTTCCATTATTATGGACTGTGCTGCTGCTTCAAAGTCAACCTGAAAGGAAATGACATCATACAATCGATTAATACAACAGAATTCAGAATGATGGTCTTTGTAATATCGTTAAATGCTGTGACTGTCATCACCTGAGACCATTTTTCCACTTCCTCTGCGCTCCAGTCTGGAAAAAATCCCCGGAGAAGTGCCCTAGAATCCACAAGATACTTTGCTTTATTTCCCTTGTTCCTGTTCCACTGAGGCGCCCACTCCTGCCAGCGCAGCACCCCCAGCCCAGGCGCTCCTGTCTGGGGTAATGAAGCTGTCAGGTCGCCCTCAACCCTCTGGAGGTGAAGGTCAAGGCTGCTGTGTTGTGGTAGGCCGCCGTTGACAGGATGATCCTGCGCTGTGAAATACGGGTAAAGTCCTAGCGTATCCTCATAAAATATTGCAACACGGCCTTCCCACTCCATCCCAAAAGCCGCTGGGTTCGGCCGACCCAAACAGTCTTTATCTGGAACCCCCCACAGCACCAGGAAAGGCTGGCCGGCGAGCAGAGGGGCCCGAGCAGGACCGCAGACACATGCAGGAGTGAAGAGACAGAGGCGGAGGAATAGATGAGAAAAGGAAAGGAGGTTGAACGTGTGTTTTCTTCCAGCCATGGAGCTGAGCAAGAGGTTTTAGGGCCCCTCGCCCAAAAACTCACACAAAAGCTGCTTTGGAGAGGGATGATGTCTGGAGAGAAAGACAGAGGGTTGGAGAAATCTTTTTGGTGAGGTCTTTTTCCTTTTGTGAGGATTTGTTATGTGTTTGTCTTTTATGAAAACAATGAACTCAGCTCAACATTTTTTTATTTGATCTGTGTTCTCATGACATAAGGGCATGTTGATCATGTGCAAAGGGTCAACACCAATTGTGTGTGTGTGTGTCAGGGGCATGTCTAGGAGGGGGGTACCCCATGGAATATGATTATATGATTTAATAATATTAAAACTCAGCAAAATTAGACGGTTTAAAAGTGTGACCACTAGCCTACTCCCTACCAACTGAAAAGATAGAGCTGCGACAAAACAAAGGGAGACGCTTTGGGATAATTAATAGCTAACAGGATTAATTAGTGCTGCCCATGCGCTAATCACTTCGTGCACTAATACGAGTCTGCAGTTAATAAACTTCTCGACAGAGGGCGCCATAGCGCAAAGCATCATCTGCGTCTCACTAGGGCTTCTCATAACTGGCGCGACATATTTATATCGAGGTACTTTGAAAACATACTTATTTTTTACATCAGTAGTAGCCTACTCGGTAATTATTTTTATTTATAGTATATATAGGCTATGGCATACTCTTCTGTTCGTGTAGTCCTTGAAAATACAGCTACCCTGCTACAAAACCATTTTATACTAGCTCAAATTCAGAGAGAGAGAGAGAGAGAGAGAGAGAGAGAGAGAGAGAGATTTAGTTGTGGGTTTATTATGGGTTAAAACTAAAGTAACAATAACTAGGGGAGAGTGGGGCACAACGTAACGCTTTTTGACTGTAGCCTATCAGTTTGTGTAAATACTTGGGGTTTAGAATATTTATTTTTTCCCACATTAATTTCCCACATGTCTAGTACAATTGCGTGGTTATGTTTTATTATTACAGTGTATATTTTTTTCTTGATTTACCCTGAAAGAATGGAAGTGTGACAACATGCCCCACAGGTGGGGTACATTGTAACATGTGAGGGGGACATACACATTGTAACATCACTTTATGACAGATTAAAATACTCTTTGATCCAATCAAAAAAATGAAGTAAGGTCAAACCAAAATATGTTCTTAATAAAATACAATTATTAACTTTTTCATATAAAATAATGGCATTTTTGACATGCAACAAACACACGGGAAAACACATACAGTATAGTTCAAAACAAAATAATAATTAATAATTTCGGAACATTGACTCTCAGTCTTTATTTACATATTTTCTCATGTGTTCTCAAAAGAATTCATAAAAGTGTAGAATATAATAGCATATTTCTAATAGGAGCACATTGTAACGTAGTGTTAAACATGCCCCAAGTGGAAGTGTGGAAGTATTTAAGACAAACTAGCCCCGTGTTATGCTGTACCCCACACTCCCCTATTATGTATTTTGGGGGAGAGGAATGTGTGGCTTTCCATGCTAAATGTAACATGTACCCATTTTACGCTGGAGTGCTCACTCTGAAGTGATTTTGACCACAACAACCATGCCAGATAATAGCCGTGACACTGTCACACACACAGGAGAGCCAGTTATAGGCTATGTGTAATGAAATGAATGCGAAGACATCTTTCGGAGTCGAATGAGTGTCTTTCTTTGAAAAGGCTATCTGAAATTGAAACTGAATGACCTGAAATCTTCGCTCATCCAGTTAAACTTGGCAACATTTTGTTATTGGGTGTGATAGTTTTAGGCCAGTTCCTGCTTTCGAGTAAGCATTAAGGAGTTGACTAAGCTTTTGTGCTACACATTTCCATCTGATTGATCTAACATTTTGAGCAAAACTTCTTTCCTTTTTAAAAATTATATAAAATTTAAAAATTCAGTTTGTTTTTTAAACTGATATTTGGTTTGGTTTCCCTCATCAGTTTCTTGAGGAGATGGGATTGTGTTACTCACCTCTGCATTGATAGATCAGGTGTGTGTGCCTGGAGCTTCAGGTCAAAGAATCCAGAAGCAAAGGTCAAGATGAAGAGCACTCATCTGGATGGGTAATAATACGAATTTTAAGAATAGAATATATAAGAATAGTAATAATTCTGTGCAGGTTTGAGTGGTCGGGTGGCTCAGAACAGGATGCCACAGAAGGGAGAAACTTCAGCCCAACCATGAGGGATGAGAAGACAGGCTGTCCTGACAAAAGGATGGATGAAGTGGCGGAAATAGGAAATAGAAAGAAAATCAGGCTACCTCACCTTCACCGGGGTAATCTGTTTGTAAGCAGGGTCACCACGGACCATGACAATCACATGATCAGACTCACCATAATCCCTTAATCCATCACTCCCTCCAAACAGCAAACACACCTAGAGTCAAACACACACACACACACATCTAATCAAAAGATGAAAATCAGTAAATACTTAGTAAAGACTTAGTAGTTTCCTGTTTTCTTTTTATTCTACATCATACATGTCATGAAACTGAAAATTAAGGTTTCATGGATGACCCTATCAGACTTTCATATCTCTACTTTTTTGATCTCTGATTTTTGCCTTTCTTCTGTTTTATTTTTTTTTTTTTCTTATTTCACTGTCAGTTTTTCAAAGTCTAATCCTATTTCCTGAAGAGGATCACTGGCAAGATTGTTCACAATTATGTCATCCAAACATAATCTGGCATAATCCTGAAGTCTGTGTTGTATTACTTCAGATATGAGAAGAGAGGATTTGGTTTTTGCGCCTGCTGTCATTCTAGGTTGAAGGTTTGGTCGTTCTTATGTCTAGACTGAAATGTGAAGTTTTTGGTGTCTAAACACTGAGCATTTTTTCTGGAAAGTTAACTAAGGGGTAGTTTTATCTTGACAGGGTTGAAATTGTACAGAACAGAGCAGAGGAAGTGATATATATATATATATATATATATATATACTCTACCATCAAACATTTGGTGACAGCAAGGCAGCAAGGTCTTTTTTTTTTTTTTTTTTTACTTTTTTTTACTTTTTATTTAGCAAAGATGTATTAATTTGCTCAAAATGTCCAATACAGACATTTACTATGTTGCAAAAGATTTTAATTTTTCTTGTTCTGCTATCAACATTGATAAGAATATGAAATATTTCTTGAGCAGCATATTAGAATGAATGTTGAAGGATCATATGACAGTGAAGACTGGAACAATGATGCTGAAAATCATTGACCCCCCCCCCCCCCCCCCCCCCCCAACTTTTGAATTGTAGTATATTATTTATGCTTTATTTAAATTTTGATTATTTAATAATTTTAGGAAGAATCAAAAAAACAAACATTTGTAAAACACTTTTGTATAAGTAGTATTTATTGAACTGAATTTAATTTATTCTGATGAACAAAAATGCATGTCCAGACAAGATGATTTATATTGCTTTCTTAAAATAATATTTAAAACAACGGTTAGTAAACAGATTTTCTTTTTATTTTCTTTATGTGGATTTTTATTTATTTATTTTTTTGTGGGGAAATATGATCTTGTATGATTCACACATTTTTTTTATTAGTTTTTGTCTATTCTCTGTTTAATCATCTGAAACCGTCCACTAATTTCAGATTCACTTGTGTTTGTTATCTAAACTCGGTGCTATTTTGTTATCAGTTGTATGTTCATGTTATGTGTGTGTGAATTTGCTACCTGCTCAAGGTTTTGTGTGTTTGCTGTGCATATGTTTAGTTGAGATTATCTGTTTGAGGTATCTAAGGTGATGCCTGCTTTCCAGGTCCCGTCACCATGGTAACGGCTCAGATGAGTCCGGCCCAGACAGCGGATGGGGGTTAAGGATGTGTATGTGTGTGTGCGCGCGCGTGTGTGTGTGTGTGTGTGTGTGCATGTGATACGGTAGCAGGTTTGACGGTGATTGCGTGTTGTGTTGTTTTTTTTTAAGATTGACCTTTATGTCGTCATGGTTGATGCGCAGTTAAATTGAACCCACTGATGATATGAAAAGTGATTTAGTGAAAAAGACAGACTCCCCTCAAGTTAACATCTAACTCGCTTGTTATTTCCTCCTGTCTCTGTTAATGCAGATGGAAACAGGTGTGGAGGCTTAGACTTGACCTCGGTCTCCCCACTGAGTCAGTGTAAACACCTCTTTACTCCAATTCATTCTCTAAGTCCTGCTTTTTACACAACCACGAATCACAGCTCATTGTGTTTTTGCTGTTTTCTTGCTAGGCAGTTAAACCATTAAACCATGTAAACCTTGTATTTTACAATAATTTATTTTATATGTGAGCATGTGTATGACTTCTGTGTAGATAGAAAAATGGTTGATCATCTTCAAAACAACATGCATAACACCTTTCTTAGTAATAGCCAGTATTCTGATGTTTTCCGCGAAATGTTTTTCATGTGGATATTTGTGTCATACCAGGAAAATGTGTGAGCGGTAGGACTTTGAATATTGTATTTGATCAAATGTGCTTAAATGTGTGACCAATAGAGCTTCTGTGATATTATGCTTTTTTTTCTCAATATACCTTTTTTTTTTTTTTTTTTTTTTTTTTTACTGCTTTCACAGAAGCTCTATTGATCACATTCAGGACACATTTCTAGTATATATGAGCACATTTTTTTGTGTGTCTGGTATCTAGGTGATGAATTCACCACTCTTTAAACATTCTTCTTTTTTGAAACAGGCTCATGTTCTTCTCTATTTGATTGAAATGTCACCTGGATCACCAGGTCAATCATCTTAACTTGCAGATGGACCATGTGTGTGTGTGTGTGTGTGTGTGAGAGAGAGAGAGAGAGAGATTTAACTGTAGGTGAGGGCCAATTTTGTTTCAACTTGTGAGGACATTTTAAATGCTCCTCACTGTTTGAACGGCTCATAGTTAATATTTTACTTTAAAAGTAGAAGTTGAAAGTATACATAATAATATAAGTTATAAGTATAAATTATACTTGGGCTATATGGACTTTGGAATGTTATTTTAAATTATACTTATGGACTTTGGAATGTTATTTTAACATCAACATAAAATAACATTCCATAACTTTTTAGCAAAAGCAAATGGACACATTTCTGTAAATGTTATTGACAGAACCATGAGCATTCCTTTAAAGGGATAGTTCACTTTGAAATTAATTTTTGATATGTTTTAGCTTACCTCAAGGGTATCCAAGATGTAGGTGTCTGTCTGTGCAGTTCAATTTTGATATTTTTAGGTCAAACCGTTCTTATGTCAGTCATATAATGGAGGTATATGGGGTTCACCCTGGGTCCACCTCAAAGAGCATGCACAGAGAAGTCCAAATTAAAACATGATTTAATGACTCGTAAATGTAAGTACACATTGATGGCCTAAGACACGAAACGAGCAGTTTGTGTGAGAAAACGAACAGTATTTATATCGTTTTTACCTCTTGTAACCACAGCCACGTCGAAGTGATCTGAAGACACAGGCAACGCTTCGGTCTGCACAAGCGCCAGAAAGCGCCGGAAGTGAGGTGGTGACCATAGACCCCCATTATATAACTGATAGACAAGAACGGTTTGACCTGAAAATATCAAAATTGAAAATACTATGGAAACAAAGACACCTACATCTTGGATGCCCTTGAGGTAAGCTAAAACATATCAAAAATAAATTTCAAAGTGAACTATCCCTTTAACTTCAGACTGAATCCCAACTTTAACTTCAAACCAACAAAGCTTATTCTCAGTCCCAGCTTCAAACTCAGCCTTGCCCTTAACCCGTGCCTCATTCTCACTCACCACAGCCACAATCTTAACCGGAAGATAAAAAAACACCTTCATAACCTTAGTTTGAACCTCAATTTTGACCTCTCAACCTGAACTATCACGTCACTGATCGTTGCTTGCTTATTATGCTGTTTACTATTTTTCTTAGCACGGTCACTTTATTATACTGTCACAATACTGTGCTATTCTATTCTGCACATACCCTGTATATACACTTTAAAACTTTTTTTTATCTTTTAATCAACAAAGACATTTTGAAGCTTTAATAAATCTTAATATCCCAAACGTTTGAATGACACTTTATTTGCATTAGCTCTTGTGTGTTGTTTCATACAACGTCAGTGTAGTTTGCAACTGTCTGTACTTCTGTCGTACTGCAGTCTGGGCCTTGTCACAAGCATTCAATGCCCAGTGAACCCTGTGTAAGCTGAGCAAATGACAAATAAAAATAAACTTGACTGCACTTCAGCCTCAAAACAAGCCTCAGCCTTAATTTAAACCTTAATTTAAAGAAATATTCCGGGTTCGTTACAAGCTAAGCTCTATGGACGGCAGCATGCTGTCAGTATCCACAGAAAATAATTTTGAATCATAATAATTATGTCTTTAATACTGTATAAATCATGACTAATACTTAATCTCGATTATGTTTGCTAAAATAAAATAAATAATCTGTTTACAGTATAATACACTTTCAGTGCAAGTTGATGGAGCAAGCATTGTCCTGGAATAAACGTTAAAGCCTCTCAGTAATTGGAATAAAACGCACAAGCTGTATGAATCACTTTCATGATACTTTGTTCCTTTATTGTCCGTTTTAGGACTGAAAGTTCCTGTTTCTTGTAATTGCATTGAAAAGAGTACATTGTTTATAACTTCTCTTTTTGTATTCCACAGAAGAAGGTCTCAAATGCTTGGGACTACATGAGGGTGAGTAAATGATGAAATATCACTTTAACATTGTGCAGCACTGCCCTCTTGTGATTATTTGAGTTGACAGGCTCTCTGATGGCATAGTCATCCAGTTTGATGTATGTGAGTTTAGTTATATTACTATGATCATGTGATTTCTGAGGTTCACTGATGCTATTGAAACACTAAAATTAAACCCATCTTAACCATGAAACGTTGCAAAGTTTTCTGTGAGTGTAAGAGTCTAAACAGTGAACTTTCCCCGCAAGAACCCTTGCTTACTGTAGGTCCAAAAATCCTCCAGTCACTAAGACTTTGAACCACACTGAAAATTCCTCTCACTCCTCAGGTGGTTTATCCCCGTTGTGTGTGACCATGTGTATTTGTGTGCTCGTGTGTGTAAATGTGTTTTGGAGCCAGATGACAAAAGGAGAGTTTGAACATGGCATGAAACCGGAAAGGTCCACAAAGAGCGAGTGACAGAGAGATGGGGACAAAACCTTCTGGAGGAGAGAGGAGGGGCTAAGCCTTTGATCTGTCTG